CAACTGACAGTATTTAAAAAGTAAATGATAACACGTTTTATAGTTATTTTTGATTTGGGATTTTAAAATTTTAGAGGGACTGTTTTGGGATTATCCCTTTTTATTATTCAATAAAATTTTCCGAAGATCAAATAGTAATTATCTATATAAGATGTTGCATTTGAGGTACCTTGAATAGAACAACTTGAATTTTTTTCTTTTTGATATTTTTCAAATAAATGTTTCTAGTTTATGTTTATTATTGAATCACATTCAAATATTATCATATTTTATTAGAATATATCCTCTAGCATGATATTTTATCAGAAAAGTTAGTTAAAAAAAACGTATTTAAGAAATTTTACTGACCAGAACAAGCGAAGGACTTAATATGTTTTCACATGTGAAAAATACATGTATATAGTGTTAGAATAATTGATCCTATATTTTGATGATAACAAATTTAGAGAAGAATTTATTTTGCAGGAAAATTAATTAATTAAGATATTTGTCAGGTTTTATAGATTCTAATAACGTGTTTTCAAAAGAGTTGTTTAAGTGGTTCATAAGTTATAAAATATTTTTCTAAATATGAGTATTCGACACATGAATTCTTAACATGAATAAGTTAGAAAAGGCCCCCTCTTTATTCTTGAAGTATCTCTGTTTGGCTTTGTATCAAACTAAAATATATTGAAAATATATTCAAAGTCATCTTTAATCCTAAGCTTATCCTAGTCATATTCTCTTTGTTTATGTTATATATTTGAGCATTCGACTCCAATATTCAAGATAGATATCAAGTCAAAAGTGACGATGTTCCTATCATAGTTGGACTAAGCTTTATAACGTTATATCTCAGTTGGACTATTCTAGTGAACTGAAGCTATATTCTAAGTCATTTTTGACTCTCATTCTATCCATGTTCTATTTTGAAAAATATTCCAAGTCAATGGGAATATTAAGAAGAAAAGCAATCTGTCAGAAAGCATTAAATAGAGCTAACTCACTCAAAAACAAGCTTTAATAGGAAGTTTCATTTAATGCTCTCACCTACCTCAGCTACAAGTTTCAACAAGAAACTTCACTATGTGTCTAGTGGACAAATTCAGAGATGAACTACAAATAGAAGAATTTATTAAATGAAGATATAGAGACCAAGATAATTATTAGAGAAAACCGAGATGTCACAAGCTACAGAAAGAACATTTTTTGTTATATACTTTTATTTATTGCTTAGAATTGTGAGATTGTATGTTGGATATTTTCTTACATGTAGTAGGGGAAAGTGATTGCCTCAAGAATTGAGGTGTTGCCTCTAGTATAGAGGTGGTTAGTGTACTGAAATACCAAGAGCGTATTGCATCTTGGGGATATAGTGAAACTCTCATATAGAACATGGGGACTGGATGTAGGTCAGTTAGATTAAACTAGTATAGATATTTTTGTGTAGTAATAGGAGGTAGCTTCTTCACTCTACTCTATTTATATTAATCAGGTTTGAATTATTATTTGTTAAAATTTTGATTAACACCTGATTCGTGGGTGTTTAACCTTATATGTTCAACCATACTAACATATAGCAAGATTTTATATGTAAAAAGTACACTTTTAGCTCTTTCTAACAAATAAAATTTTTCAACAAGAACTTTTCAGGGATTTTTTCTTTTGTATTTTTATCTAGTCATAAGTTTTATCTGCAAGAAAGGTATTATTATGAATGATCTCATCATATTCGAGTTGTATTTCTTAACAACTTTCAGATGCCCACTTTTAAACCAAATGGTGTGATAATGGCGGAGATAATCCAAATTGCAAGTTAAAAAATTCACCCCAAACGATGATGTAGTAAAACGAAGATATATTATAGGTGCACGCAACATGACAAACATACCATTAAAAAGCACTTTGAAAAATTTAATGTATGGAAGTGAATAAAACAAATTATGAACATTTTTATATTGTTGAAAGGTGACAAGAGTTTCATCGGGTATGTCCCTTATTCGGCAACATGCCAATAAAATTAAATTTTTACGTAGTTATGTTTTCATATGCATGCTTATTTGGTCAAGAGATAATAGACTATCCGTGAATTTTCTTCACTTTAATTACACAAACACACTGTCTATTTTGAAAACATGCATTTAGTCTGAAACATTAACAACCTTAAAAATTATTGTAAGATGATAAAAAAAAATACTTTTTATCAAGAGATAATTACACAAACACTGTCTATTTCGAAAACATGCATTTAGTATTAAACATTAAAACCCTTAGAAATTATTTTTAAGATGATCAAAAAATACTTTTTAATTAAAAATTGTATTAAAATAAATTTTATTCACTAATTTATCCTTTATCAACTAAATCTTTAATTTATCTTTTGATAGTTTATTTAATATTTGCTAGTTATTTGTTTAATAGTCTTAGTAAATTTAGAAAAAAATTAAGTAATTCTTACTTAAAAAATTAACAACTTGGTCAACATTTGAGTAAGTGTTTTAATAAATATATGTTTGCTAAAACATATTTAGTTATTTTAAGTTATAAATCTACTCATATTGTAACATGGACACTGGATACCATAAACTTTAGTGTAAAAGTACACAAATTAAAATGATTCAATATTAAAATTCCACAACTATTAATTGAGTCAGCTAACATTGGTTGTAAAGCAAACGTGTTATTAAAGAATATGGTGAAAAAACGCGTGAAATTTTCAACATGATGCGAAATGACATGACCGTTAAAATATAATCAACTAACATTGACCATGCATAACATTTATTACTCCCAGTCGTCCTGTCTGCCACTAAAGGGTCTTTTGTCATATGCATTGGTTGCACAACCCTCTTCTTTTATTAAATTTTTCTCCGTTGAAGAATATTATGAAAGAATTTGAACGCGTTGATTTTCATGGGGATGCATATGCCAACCTCAACCTCAACCTCATCTTCATCATTCTCTTCTTCATCTCCTTCTAATACATGGTTAATTTATAACGATAGTGATTCTAATTCGCAGCTCATTAGCTTCAAGGCAAAACCACATAAGGTTAAAAAAAAAAAAGACCAAAAAAAAGAAACGGGAATCAGGCGGCTGTGGGAGGTGCAGCCATTGTTTCTTGTTAAAGACCCCGCAATGGCGAACAAGATCCTTGGGAGTGAAGATGTGGAGCCCGTGTGAGGACTATTATTTGTTAAATGATCCACACTAATTAAATTAATGATTGTGGGATTTTTTTCTACTGTTTTAAAATTTTAATGTGTATTTTTGTATCATTTCTTAAATGATATGTTTCTTAAAATGTAAATGTTGGTTGATTTAATAGCTATGGCATCTGGCACCATTTTTAAAAAACTTTTATATACATTTGCACCCAATAAAAATTTATGGTGTCAAGCGCTCATGGGAGAATAGTACTTTATAGGTATATTTATACTTTAAACCTCAAATTATTTTAGGTAAAAATTTGTGTGTAAATGATTGTTAGATTATGAATGTTAAGAAAGGGTATTTTGGTTAAAACAAAATGTAAACGTTCTGATTTAATGGCCAACAAACAATTGGATGAATGGAAGTATAATGTTAAAATTAGGGGGGTTTGCAGAATAAACATTTTGACATAGTTTTTATTTATTCAACATATAAAGGAGATCTCTATAATTTAGATTCAGCAGAAGGAAAGTTGTTGTATTTTATTAAATAAATTATAATAGAAATTTTGTAATGACTGGATAGGCATCATTCTTCCTAATTCACAAGAAACATTTTAAAATTAAGTCCGTACATTCATTATTTCATTAATAAAACATAACCCCTCTGAAGGAGTACCATCACGTAAATAGTCAAATTAGAATGATTATCTGCATATAAAATAAATTTTAAATGTATTATATAGAAAAATGAAGTTTGAGGAATGCACGATACTAATGTCTCACATTCTATTCTTTAAATAATCGATTATACATTGATTAATGCCAGTTCTGCACAAATATAATAGCACATGATTCTTTTTTTTTTTTTTTAATCGGAAACACGATGTTTTTATTGAAATTTAATGTGTGTATATATAAATCAAGATAATAAAAATAACAATAAACTATAAATCTTAAAAATGATTTTTTAAAATTAAAAATAACAATAATGAGACCTAGGCTGTCAGTCTGAGATGGATTTGAATGACTCAAAAGAATATCTTGGGAAGAAATGCTACTTCGTGGTCTTAATACAAGATCTAATTTCGAGTAGATTAAAAAAGTTTGTTAAGTTAGTTATTTGTAATAAATAAGTGTTGTCTTCTTTAAAATATCCTTGTTAATCATGTGTATTAGCTAGAAGTACCATTTGATGGAACTTTTAGCATGTGCAATTAATACAATGACTACTTTAAAAAAAAAGATAAATATGAGAAACAAAATAGATTGGAATCTTATATTTAGAATCAAATTAAATGTAAAACTAGTTTTTATATTAAAGATTAGTGGTAATATAATGAGGACATGCTACTGATCTCATTCACAGGCTACAACTATCCTCTTGCTTAGCTATTTTCCAGCGCAAAGTTTCCATCAGCTACTTAAACGCGACAAAACGTTACCTAGTAACATTCGCAAATGTTTCAGATTATTAAACATCTGTCTCCAGTCTTCGCTTGGTGAAAGTTACAGGAAACTAATATAAAATGTTCAAAGAAGGATGATAAAATCGCCTTACTCTGTGATTGAAAAATATGTCGCAATCTCAAGTTTATCAGAAAGCATATATACGAATATCCTGTTCCTTCGATGTTATTTATATTCACCATTTTCCATTCTGCAATTAGCTTTTCTATCAAAGTAAAGATCAAACATAAATATATCAGAAAGAAACACGGGGGAACTCAAATACAAGAAAGAAGTCTAGGCAATATACAGCCCCGTAAAAAATCTCTGGGTATTAACTTTGTCATTTTTGAGGGGATAAATTCTTCTTGGAGAATCAAAGACAAACTCTTCACATCCAAACCAGAGATCGAGACCATGGCAGAAGAATCTAAGAGGGTAGTGGTAATAGTGGATGCATCAAAAGATGTTTTTGCTAAGTCCATAATGAAGGCACTGAAACAGACGAATCCTCGGGCTGGAGATGAGCTTAAACTCATAGCAGTTCTTGAACAGTTCAGCAGTCCCAGTGAGTTTTCCTACTTCTTAAATAATGGACTTATTTGCTTGTTCATAATAATTAGTGTTTTTTATTTTTTATTTGGGTTAATTAAACATTTTTCCGTCTGCAAAAAAGAACTAAGATATAAATGCAAATGGCTTATGAGCGATGCAATCATTACAAATTTAACTCTATCAGGCTCTAAATGTATGAGTTAGATGCAGGCTTTTGATTCAACTCCAACTTAATTTCATTTATCTCCCATGTATATCATCTTTTCTCCAAACAAGCCCCATCGTAACTCTTTGATACTAAATGTAAGAGCTATATGGGACTAATTTACAAATGTTAAGACAATTAGTTAAACTAGTTAATTGTAAAAAATATATGGCAATTTTCTCAAGATAACCTCTTCAATTATTTATATTCAAACTATTTCTTGATGAAAATCTCCTTAATATTTGCAATCAATAGAGATGATTTGAGATAAAAATTGTAATATTTGGAAGGAAAAAAATGAGTTGAGGTCTTATATTTAGGACTAAAGTAAACCTTCTTACTAGTTCCTGCATTCAGGATAAAAAAGAGTATGTTGATAACACTTCAATATAAATGATTAAAATAAGAGATAGTTTAGGAAAGCTAGTATATATTTTTCACAAACAATTAACTTATCTAATTTATTTAATATGTGTGATGAATTAGTTAATTAGCTCCTACATTTAGAATTGGGGAAAGTATTATATTTTGACATATTGATGATTTGGATCTGACTAAGATTAAAACTCGGATTCTTCAGACCTAAAGACAAGTACGCTGTGTCAGAGTTAATGTTTATTGGTTTCTTGTTCACTCTCATTTTTATCTGATTAAAAGAGAGAATTAAAGATGTGAATAACAAGAATTATAAATCAAATGAAGATAAATTTTGATTATCACTCAATATTTGAAATTGCTAATTTCCTACTAAATCTTTTCCTGCTTCACCTTTTGCTCTTCAGTGGGATACAAGATCAGGGTCCATGACAGTCCATTTCTTGCAACAACCCAAAAGATTGTTGACGAAGAATTAGCTAGAAAAAGGGATGACGTTAACAAGAGTTCAGGAATCATGGAACTCCTTAAGTATTGTGAAACAAAAAAGGTCAGTATAAACTATATTTATCAAGTCCTTATCACAAGACTTTTTAGGAGCCACAGGGACAGGCTTAAAAATTTCAAACTGAAAACCCAATAAATTATATTGAACCAAATATAGACCCATGAAATTTGATTATAGCAAAATGAAGAAATTTTGCATATATATTTTTGTCAATTAGATAAGAGACCAAAAGTAAAAGTATCTATGGGATTAATAAAACTTAGTTTGTTGTCCTTAAATGACATGGGTGATGAAATTCTTCCCGGCAATGATATTTTCTCAGATGGACTTCCACATTGATGTGGTTGCACACCCTTTCACAGAGGTTTTTTCTCATGCTGCCAAAAGTTTTGGAGCAACGTGGTTGATCGTTGACAGGTTTGTTCATAACTACTTCCTAATTTTTGGTCTCAGCCTACGGGTTTCACACAGAACTAAAGAAAAGCTTCCACTTGTCTAGATACATATTTGCATATTCTTAAAAGCGCACCCAAAAAAAAAAACAATAACATTACGGGTTTTTTTTCCCCCATAAACTTCCATTACGTAGGAAAGAATTTAAATAGAGGGTTACCATGTTGCAAACATAGGGTATCTCACTAAATACTTGATTACTCGGGCATGCATAATGTTCAATATTCAAAGGGAAAGGAAATGAAGATATGGGAGATGGCTCTCGTGTCTTTACAAAAAGATGATATAAATAATTAAAAAAAAACTAATTAATATTAATAACTACATAACACACATTGCATGCCGACCATGGCTGATTCAATGGGTTGACTCAAATCCTATGGTTGACGTGAAGCCTTTGTTAGTAAGTAATCTATAAATCATAAGGCTTGTCTTAACCCTACGAAGTCATAAGACCCAACTCATCCAAAATAATCAGAAACAAAAAAGAAAAAGTTGTATTGTAAATAAAGTAGTCTCAAAATTCATGTATTTACATAACCCTCTCCATTACGTTCTTCCTTCCTAACATAACACAGTAATCATACTACTCTTCAAGCAAGGAGACAGGGAAAACATATCAAAGAGGGTGTTTTAAGTGGTAAAGTCCACTAGCAATGCCCATATTGTGAGCTTCTACGGCATAACTAACAGCTAATTACGCAAGAAGTGGAAGAACCTCTCCAAACGTGTCCAATGCATGATATGGAGAACTTGGTAGTTAATACAAGTATTGCTTCATATTTAAAACCTTCGTCATGACAAAAAATTTGTTTCATGGAAAAACTAGTTAATTTAAATCTTACTGTGTTCACATAATACCATAGGCAACCTAATTTAAGATTAACTTTTACATAGACTTGGTGCTAATGCTATATACGATCATTTGACCACAAATGATGCAGAAAGGTGAACAAAGATAACAGGAAATTGCGGTTACCTTGTGGTATGATTAGAATAAGAAGTGACAACACTATTCAAAAGGTGCAAGGTCCAGAAGTACCAACAGAGCTCTCCAAATCACACTCCACAGGTGAAGCTATGAAGATCATTGGTGGAACCGAAGATGAAGAATTTTCACCCAAGAGTAAGTATTATGATGCTATAAAATTTTCTGTAAAACTTGAAAACCTTGAGAACTTTAACTCAATCTTTATTGGTAATGAAGTGCTTCTCATGCCTTATGAATATTGATCGACAAAGAATATAGTGAAGATAAATAGCTATTATTACATCAAGCAGGGCATAGGTCATCACCAAATGAACAGTTCACAACAATTGGAACATCAAGTTCAAGCATTCTTCAGTTAATGAATGACAAAGAGCACGAAGAACCTCAAAATACAGAGCAAGAAAAAGAAAGTATGTTTTTCAATTCACGAGACCTTGAGCAGCAAAGCGGTGACAATGAAGAGTCACAGATAGAGACAGAATTGACAGTCCCACTTTGTTCTGTGTGTAAAAACAAACGACCAAAAGTTGGATGGATGAAAGACTTCAGTTACACAGAACTCTGGAAAGCTACACAGGGATTCTCTCAAAAGAACTTTCTATCAGAAGGTGGATTTGGATCTGTCTACAAAGCAGAGCTCACTGGAATAACTATTGCTGTTAAGAAGCTTAAAAATGCAAGTCTCCAAGGAGAGAAAGAATTCAAATCTGAAGTCAAATTACTTGGCAAAGCAAGGCATGAGAATGTGGTCACACTTCTGGGGTCCTGCTCAGAAGGAATGCATAAACTTGTTGTTTATGAATATGTCTGCAATGGTTCATTAGACCAACATTTATCACGTAAGTTTAATGCAATATTACAAAAGCATATACAGTTTTTTGACGTCCCTTATTAAACAAAAGTTCGTCTAATTTATTGCAGAACATTCTCGAACTCCTCTTACATGGAAAGAGAGGATCAAAGTTGCTATTGGAGTTTCGAAGGGCTTGCAATACTTGCATGAGACTAACATTATACACAGAGATGTGAGACCAAGCAATATCCTTATCACACATGATCGTCAACCTGTGGTAATAAAGCATGCATGCAACTTTTTAATTTATTAACTAAGATATATTCACTCACTAAACATAATCTACTAACAAAGCATATATATATATATATATATATATAATAGTTTATGGTGCTAAATAAAAAAACAAGGCACACCAATTCAAATCAAAAACAGGCTTCCAAGAATGTTTAGTAATGTTAGCCTAAACCAATAAGGTTATATTGGTTGCAGAAATACAAATGAGATATAACACATAAGTGTCATTATTGCATTCGGCATTTATTACAAAAGAAAATGAGATAACAAAATCACATAGTTGAGTTTGATCACTCCATAAGCTTATTAACATAATTATAAAAATAAGCCAAACTATGAGTATTAACTAAACATTGCACTTAATTATCAAAGAGAACGTGATAACTAAATCACTCTGGTGTTTGATCTAAAAATACTTACTCTTTCACAACAAAATTTTAGTTGGGAGACTTTGGTTTGGCAAGAAATCAACATGAAGACTCAATACAGTCAACAGAGGTTATTGGAAGTTTGGGGTATTTGGCACCTGAATATGCAGAATATGGAAAAGTGTCAGCCAAGATAGATGTATATTCTTTTGGGGTGGTTCTACTGGAACTCATCACAGGAATGAGGACAACAGACAAAAGACTTAAAGGGAAAAGTCTTGTTGGATGGGTAACAATCTATTTGGCATGAAATTTAATTCATGTACCTTATTATTTTATTGATTTTCCATGTTCACATAAGGCAAGTTCTTCTTAGTATAATCTTTCAAGATAGTTGCATGTTGAAACTCAAATTTATGTATCTTACATGACATAATAAGTGGAGTAATTGTCTCGTTCACTCAGTGTGGTGATACAATAATAGAAAGACAAGGCTTTTAGTTTAAATATCCTTATTTTATGTTGATTTTCTTTTTTGCCCCTAACAACTCATCATTTTTCTTGCAGGCAAGACCACTACTAAAATACAGGAAATATCACGATCTAATTGATGAAAGGATAATCAATTCTCATGATTTTCATCAACTATTTTGGATGGTTCGAATAGCAGAAAAATGTCTGACTAGAGATCCTCAGAAAAGACTAAATATGGTTGAAGTAAGTCAACATCCATTAGCCGTTTCTCCTTTCACACACTAATATATTTTTAATGTAATGGAAAGAAGTTAGAACTTAGCATTATGATAATAACATCTTTCCTTATTGTCAATATCACAATTTATATATAATAAGACCAAATATTGATTTGAATTTTTTTCTTACGATGTTGTAATAGGTGGTTAATGCTTTAACTCAAATATTGGAAGGCAACACATGTACCATACCAGGAGACTATTCCCCAACAAGGTCAGAGTCATCTTATTGCACATCAGACTCTGATGAATCAGAAGATGACAACGATCAAGGAGCCTTTGAATCAGAAGGTGAGTTAGAAAGTCAGAGCATAAATACTTTATTGACTATTGACATGGGTATGATAAGCCAGGCTATCGGAAGACTCCCACCATCACCTCCAATTTTGAAAACTTATTGAAGCCAGAGCACCATAGAGCTCCCACTTCTCACTCCAATTGTGGTAACTTATTGAATCTGGATTACTAGCTAGAAGACTCCCGTAATGCCTCCAATTGGGAGAACTTCATGAAGCCAGATTATCAGAAGACTCCCACTTTTATCTCCAATTGTGAGAACTTGAAGCCAGATTATGGGAAAACTCCCACAATCACCTCCAATTGTGAGAACTTGACGACGGATTGTTAGAAGATCACATCACCTCCCATTTTGAAAACTTCGTGAAGCCAGAATATTGGAAGACTCCCACCATTATGTCCAATTGTAGGCACTTGAACTCGATCAAACACATATAAGTATGATGAATCAAGTGTCAAAATTTGAACCTGATGAAGACCATATATAATTAAAAAATGAAGACACATAAGTGAACAATAGTGAATTATCTACTCGGATGGTTAAGTAGATAATTAAAATAAATAATTACAGTTTGATACCTTTTAACAAATAAATTGTTCACTTTAATTTATATATTAAAGTGGTTAAACAATTGTCATAATGTGGGTTATGCAGTTTGATTCTGTTTAACATATTAAAGTGATAATGCTATTGTAATAAACTTTTGTCTTCTGTTATGAAACATGGTTGTAATTATGAATATAATAAAGCTGGTTTTCTTTTAATACGATGAAAGAAAGTGCATGGAATTGTTAGAATAGAATTAGCTTGCCTTTCTTCAATATTTCTCATTTGGTTAACTAGATAAGTTCGGTCCTGTTTAAATTTCAAAGCTAAACAATCTTCATTCTGTTATTAAATGTATGCGACGTGTTGCTGTTGATGCATACTATATGTTACGCAAGAATTAACGAAGAAATTAAAATCCCCCCCTCCTCCAAATTTTATAATCCAAACAAGTGGAGGGGCTAAACCCTCGTACCAAATAGACCATAGGGCGCATACAAAGGTAACATGATATTTAAATTTGAGTGATAAATAATGATAGAAAAGTAAATAAATAAATAAATGAGAACATCAAAGTCTATCCAAAAATGAATTGAAAAGATTTGATACCTATGCTTTGTTGCTTGCAGCTTTACCACCCGGCAAACATTACATTCTCACATCTATGAATTTTAGTGGCCTAGTCTGTCATTATTGTGTTCTTCTGTTTTCTTATGGGAAAATTATTAAATATATTCAAGGAATCACTGTGCTCTTGAATCCTCTATGCCATAAAAAGCAAGATTGAGCTTACGCCTTCATACTCAATTAAAATCTACATATTCCAATTTTTTAAACTTCTTGTTTTTTGTTCATTTGTATGCTTCTATAGATAACATGAGAAAGCCTAAATCATAGAAATAGTTATCCATATCTAATTTCTTCAATAATCATTTGCCACAATGATGGAATCTTTTAGTAGCAACCAAGGTTTGGTTTAAAAAAAAGGCTAATATCTGCATTCTTATTTTTCTACTCTAAGACAAGAAACATCTTTCACTTACATTACTTTTGCTATGTGTGACCTCGAAGCTAACCTATCATCCTTTAAGTCATTGTTAAAGAATTACTATATTTAATCATATGTATTAGAATTATCTCTTGGTGAAAACCCCTTACAATTAATAAGGATCTTTTAAAGAAAACATTATAAAGTTGGGAGACAAAGCAGATTTAGCTATTATATTTAGGATCAAATCCAATCTTCAACTAACGCTTATATTAAAGACCAAAAGCAGTACTTTTGATTCTATATTTAGGTTTTGTGCTTTTATATTTGTCCAATTACACTTTTTTCATTAGTACATTTATCATAACCCTAGGGTTCTATTTGTATGGCAACTACTTGCTTATACCAGATGACATTTAGAAGCCTTTACCCAAGAAGTTGTTCAACACAATATTTTATTAGAAGAATGGCACGAGTTCCTCCAAGAAACTAATATCTTTGTTATCTAAGAATCAACTTTAATACTCTATATCAGTTAGAATTGAAGGTAAATCAACTTAAAGGTTGTGATCTTAAGGAGCTTTAATGTCTCAAGAAATTTAGCTAATTAGGAGTTACAAATTAAGAAAATAGTAGAAAAATTTAGTAGTTGACATTGATTTTTCTCATTAGTTGTTTATGAAAATTGATTTTCAAGGGGAATGTAAAAGAGACAAGAGGTAGAAAGAATTGGAAGAGTGTTAATGGAGTAAACTTACTTGGATATGTAATTTCTTCTTCCTTGCAACCTAAAAATCATATTTCTATTTTATGAGGCAATTTATCAAATACTAAGTATGCAATTTCAAACATCCTTCCATTGACTTCCTGTAGTACATGCCTAAAAGCGTAATGGTTTAAAAGGATCATGAAATAAGCCCGCATATTGAAAATTTGATTCTCATGTTACTATTCACTGGTAAATTCCAGATTTTAGTCTAATTTTGAAAATTGATAATTAATTATAAAAAAAATCGTATTGAGGTGATTCAAGTCTCTATTTAGTTCTTTACAAGGAAAAACTATAAATATGGACTTAACCCTTCTTAATTCATACAATTAATTCATGGAAATTTACTATTTATTTGGTAGAAACTGTACTTTACAGTTTCTTTATCCTAACTTTGAGCAGTCATAACTCTTAGCATACACATCTATTTTAAATAATCTACCATTTATTTTAAAGCTCAGGATGTGTACTTTAAGCATCAAATTTCATGGACAGATTCAATTGTTTGCCTCACTTTCACTCTGACAAATTCATGGGTCATTTAGGGATAATTATCCCCCTTACTTTGCATTAATAATTCATAAATATTCCCATACATAAACTTATTCAATTATACATACAACATCATCAATCCTTATTTCATAACATTAATGGTATGTTTAATCATATATTAACATAAAGGGAATTTTTTACATAAAATAAGACAGTACACTATTTCTTCAATTCTTCCCTTCATTCTTACATTTTCACATCTTGCATTCTTCTTTCCTTGCACATCATACCTATTATAGTTGGTTAAGGGAGGATGAGATTTGAGAGGATCTCAATAGAAAACAATAACTACCTAAACATACATGGCAAGCTTGGCATTCATAACATACTTACAGCTTAACATATTTATAACACAATGACATGTTTGGAAATCATCATGCATTTATCATAAAACTTATAGGCCTATGGCGTACTTTAAACATATTCACATTCACAACACATTAGTTCATAAAATCATATAAACACACAAATATGTCATACAAGGAAGCAAATACCAAGCATATAAGAGTAAGATAAAGTTTACTATCTTTAGCCTTTTATTACATTCAATATTTCCTCTTGCTCCCTTTGCTTCCCACCATTAAGGTTACTTGATCAGCCTTTCTATTCATCTTCCTTCATATCTCTTAAATTGATCGACACATCATTGCCATTTGCTCATTAGAGTCATGATCACAATCAACATCAACACTTTGCTCTCTTTAAGCCACACTGACTTCTAACTTTTGAGTTTAATTTCTAATCTTTCTAAAATTAATCACACATGTTAGTCCCTCATAATTTTAAATGTAAAATCCATTTTTAAGCTCAAACTAAACAAAATCCAACTACTTTTCCATGAACAAGCCTTGGCCGAAACATATAGGGTTTTGGGTTCAAAATTCCATTCTCAATACCAATGCTTTCAAATTTGCTTTCTCACTTTTACCACACACAATTTTCATTTTAAATACATTAGAAGTGTAATGTGTCACACCTCTCCTTATATCTCATTGTGCGTTAATTAGAACCAATATAAATCGTTTTGTAACATTTCTAGATGAAAAATTTGAAATTTAGGATTTTACTATTCATCTTGTCCATATACTATTCATCCGAAAATGGGCCAATTTTAAAAATTCATAACTAAATCTAGAAAAATCGAAACGAAGTGGTTCTAATTTTCACATAAAAGCTTGCTAAGATTTCTATGGTGGAAAAATAATTATTAGGTCTGATTCCATCCAGAATAATTTTAGGAAATTCATCAAAGTATCCTGTTCATTTGGTAAATTTTTTAATTTTCAGTATTTTTTTTCAACTTTGAAAGAGCATAACTCTTAGCACACAACTCCAAATTTGATAAATTACCACTTGTTTTAAAGCTAAAAATGAGATCTATTTGTCTGTAAAATTTCATGTCCAAAATCTTACAATTGCTCATTATTTTATGTACCACAAATTTGACACTTTTTAGGAAATTTCTATCCCTTAATTACCATTTTCTTGATTTATTTCCCCTTTTTCCTTCAACCACATTCCTTCCACAATGCCTCAAGCATAATTCCAACATTGGAACATGGAATAATAATATAATTTACATCAAAATGTCATCCATAACTTATCATAAAATAAACATAAAGTTTGGTACACTTGATACAAGTTTCTAACATAACATAATATTCATAAAGCCATTTCATGCCAAGGCCAATTCTTTCCCTTTCTCCATGCTTGATCTGCTTCCTAATTAGGGCATAAAATAACATAGGAGGAATGAAATTCCAAAGAAATCTCAGTAGCATATGAATTATAATTGTCATGTAAATCAATACAAGTTTAATTGTGACGTGTTCATGCAAGGAGAGGAACATCATATCATCCACATTGACATACCACAAAGCATTTGGCCAAAGCATAACCAATGTCAATCAAACAATCAAAGTCACCACAAAGTTCCTCCAATCAAAGCAACAACGATCACAACAAACAAGCAAGATAAACAATCAAATTATAATTCAAAGCTACCTTTGTAAAGCTTGGCCACTTAATTCCTCCAAGGAGTAATGCTTCTCCTTAATTCCTCCTCTCAATGCCTATTAAACCAAGCATAAACATAGGCCATATTAATCACAAAACAACTTGGTTCCAATACTTTAACATTAACTCAACGATTTCCTCCCTTTTTCTTTGATTTTTAACAAATTGATTCCTTCTTTAAAATCAACCATCTCATGATTAAATCCTACACAATTTTTCATGAGGAATCCAATGGTGCAATCAGATTTTTGAAAATCACACTCTTTCCCCATGAACCTGGTTTGGCTGAATAGGGGTCCTTAATTTTCCAAAAATTCCATTTGTGATTCCAATGATTTTAAACACTTTCCAACAACATATCCCTACACAAAAACATGTTTTAAAGCCATTGAAATCATCAAATCAATGAAAAACAATCAGCTCCTGCATGAACAGTGCTGGCCGAAAATCTCCCCTTAA